GGCTGCCGATTGAATCCAGGACTCTCACATGGCCTCTGCCACAGAGCACCAGCATCTTAGTAGCGAGTGCCATCCTAGCTGAACCTCCTTCACCTTTAATTGATGATAAAAGTAATATCTAAAATGGCCTAAAAATTACTATATATATTACACCTTTTTAGCCAAAAGTAAAAACTGTGACTCATGATTTTTAGGTTTTTAATCTTACCATATTTTCATACATCATGGTTTAAAGCTGGTTTGTCTATATTCAAATAAGGTTTTACATTATAACTATGTCAGTGTTTTTGTTTTTTCCTTTAACAGAGTAATATAAATTTCTTTTGTAAACTATCTCAAGCTGGTCAGGTTATTTCCCACTTACTCTTTTACAGGTGTTGCATACAATTGCAGCAACAGTTCAAAACATAAAAAAGAAAAGACTTAGAGAGGACTCTATGGAGCCTCTGGACAGAGACTGAACAGTCACTCATGATTGATGTTTGACAGGTGATCTGCTGACTCTTTTGAATAAACTTTCTCACCAGAAGCCAAAGTGGAGTATAGAACATTGCTACTATTTTCAGAATTTATGTGCAAACTAAGAAAAACAAAATCTCTTCTGGGTGGAGACAGCCCCAAACTCACATTTTAGCAAACTGCTGACACTTTTGTGTGAAGAAAAAGCATCTTCCTTCTAGATGCTGCTACAGGTTTAAGTTCACCATCTAGATGGGCTCAGTTTTAAATCACCTGCCCCTCTTTTCCTGTGTCCTTTGGTCCTTTTTTACTGTATATGAACTATCCTAAGCAACCCTGAAAAAGCAGAGCTTGTTGCAGGTGATGAAAGCTGCCTATATGAATGTGAAGTGGACATCTGTGGTGAGGGCTTGGCTCCTTTCAGCTCCATTCATCACTAATAGATCATGTTTATGACTGGAGATCAGGCAGTCCTTAGATGCCAGGCCTGCCAGTCTACAGGTACCTCCAGGTGCGGGCCTCTCACCATATAGGCATCTCTCACTTCTTCTCTCTCCTCCAGATCTCCCCTATGACTACCAACCCACGAAATTCTTTCTGATTTTAAGCACAGGACATTTTTATCTTAGACATAGCAAAACTTTCATGAATCAATCGTCTATTCACACAAAATTTTTTTCACCCATAGAACAAACATTTTGAAGCCCAGAAGCCAGTAAAAGTATTTTACTTGTATTTCTCTAGTTTTGTGCTATAGCAGCACTTCCTTGAAACATCTGATCCACATGCACTAAGTGCAAAGAAAAAGAGAAAGGTAAAAGCTAAGAAATAAGAACAGTGGCAATAAAAACTATCTCCATATTGAACAGGTCTTCCTTAAATTAGACTTTATAAGACTTAGTCAGTCAAAACCCATCTAAATAATGACCTAATATTTGCATATTTTTATTAAATTAAAATGTTAATAGTAGGTGCTATTTATATTAACCGGTATCTGTCACTCCCCTCCAATCAGCCACACAGAAGATTGTACTTCTCAACTTTCCTTGTGCTATTAAAAAGTGAGCATTGAACTTCATGTGATAGGAATCTGGAATTGAAAGGTGAGCAATGTCAGAACAGGCAATGAGAACATAATTGTGCAATGCTGGAGGCCACATGGGAGGGCTCCAGATTTGGATTCCAGAGGCTGCCTGAGGAGGCGCCAGGCATGCCCATGGGAACACCAGTGATTCTGGCTGATTGCAGGGCTGGGGAGAGGATCATGGTGTGAAGACCCTGTCAAGAGTGCATCCTACCTCCCTCGACTGGAAATAAATACACTTAAGGGGGAAAAAATGTGAGCAAAAGTATGTACCAATTATGGCCCAACAGGAAAAGACTCATGAGCAATTCTCTGTCACTTTCTTCTACTGCTAGGGATCATGTCAGAGGCGAAGTGTTGATATTGCAGAATCAAAAAAATAGAATAATCCTGATTCTCCCAACAATGGAAGAATTTGGCCTGGAGAGATGTCTCAAGTCCAAGAGGATGTTAGATGAACAAGAAAAAAAATCTATGTTGTGTTTGATCACTGAGATTGTAGATTTGTTTGTTGTTATAGGGAATTTTTTTCCTAGCCAGACTAATATAACCGTTAAGGAATTTTGTGTTTAAATTCTACAACCTATCATATGGAGAAAAGAACATGAAACCTATATAAAGTATACATTATCTTGTAAATCTAGGTTCCTAGTTACGGAATGCCAATTATCAATACAAGGTATTAGAACATTATCTTATATGCGTTGTCAATGGGTTGTGAACAGAAAATATTTCTGAGTATGCAGTATATGACCTATGTCTAGTGTATATTTTTCTAATTTAATCTTTACAAAAATATTCTAAGAAGTATAAATATTATAGTTGAGAAAAATATGGCTCAAAAATTTAAACAATTCACTGAATTTAAAACAACTACTAGCTTTTAGACAGAAATTCAATCTGTGGTCGACATTATTTTTATTATTATTATTTTTTTTGGAGAGGTTTTTGTTATAGAGCGTGTGTGCTCGCAAGAAAAACAGAGAAAGACAAAGAGACAAAAAGTGAGAAATTACCCCCCAGGGGCGATGGCCACACCACAATCCCTTCTCCTCTATTCTCCTCTCGGGATCTTGGGCATGCATGCACACACGCCCAGCGTGAGTTTAAGCCACCAGGTTCGGGACTCAAACTGTGGGCGACTACATGGGAGTTCAGTGACATGGCCCTTACGCTAATTGCTGGTCCCTGGTTGACATTATTTTTGCTAAATGCTAAAAATGTGGTTCTTCCAGCAGTATGGTAGATTATCTTCTACCTTCCATTTAACCCCAAAATATTCTGTGACTGTGTAATATGCTTTGGTTAAGGAAATGCTTCATTTTTGGCCCAAAGTCTTTCATTATTGGATCTTGTAGTTCTATCCTTGAACACTATGATAGTAATCTCTCAAAACTTGTATCGACAGTATCACAATATGGTGGCACTTACATTTTGCAGGATATTTAAATGGCCATATTGAGCCTGCCAAAGAAAAGAACATGTATTGATGTATTGGGACCAGCAGATGGCATAATGGTTATGTTGCTGAACTCCTACATATTAGAACACGGTTCAAGTTCCAGGCCCACCAGCTTAAGACTCACACTGGGTATGCATGTGTGTGTATCCTAAGTTCCATGAGGAGAATGCAGGAGAAGAAATTGCAGTGTGGTCATACCCCGTTGGGGGTGATCTCTCACTTTCTGTCTGTCTCTCTCTCATTCTGGCTCTCCAGTGAGCACTATAGCAAAAATCTTTCTGAAAAGAAAAAAAAAAAAAAAAAGCAATGAACCAAGAGGAAAAAAAAAAAAAAAAAAAAAGCTATGTATCATGAGTGAAAAAAATAAGTTCTTGTAGTTAAAACTACTGAGAATTTAGAATTTATTACCATGGAATAAATATATAGAACATATTAATTTTTTTGGTGTAATGTAGTATTTGAACCTGCTGACATAAATCTTTTCTGTTGCACAGGATCATTGTTTTTGGAGAGAAGAATTATGTCTCTTATGCCTCCAGTTTATTTCTGTGCTTTCTGAATGTATGGATGCATGAGACATGAGGATTTAGAAAAAAATATTTTGAATCTAAAAATCAGACTTAGCCATGATGGCATAATAAACTACACCTCTCTAGGATGCTGAAGCCATGTGGAAGATTGCAGTTCAGTTTCTGCATTGACTTGTATATGCTGGGCATGCATACAGGTGCCCATGATCCTGGCTGTTTGGGAAGGCTTGGAGGAAGATTTGGATATGGGATTCTATTTAGAGTGCTTCTTTTTCTTCTGTTTGTATGAAACAAACATATAAATAAATTACAAAAAAAAAATCTAAAAATTGGCTTTACAAATTAAAGTTTAAATAAATGGCTGAAGCTTAGGTGTTAGTTATTTTAAATATATTATATAAATTTATATTAGAATTTTTTAGTTTTTAAAATTTGCTAAAGATAGAAGCAGGAGGAAGAGAGAGAAGAAAGAATGAGAGTGAGGGAGTGCCAGAAAACACCCACCATGCAGAATGGTCACTCCACAATCCCTTTCACATCTCTCTCTCCTTTTGAGACTTTGGGCAGGCACTCACCCACATCCAGGTCCAGACTCCAATAATGCAGCTGGCTGGAATTCAGCCATCTCAGCCACCAACCACACTATGGGTTTGCCCTAGATTTTCTAGAATAATATTTATTTTAAAAGTAGAACCAGTGTGTGAAGTTAACCAGTGTGAGTTTTGACTGTTGTAACACGTAAATGTTGAGAAAATGGAAACACTTTACTAAGGACAAAGAATATCGGCTATATATGCTGCTTTACTTAATCTTCACAATAACTCAAAAGATTTCATTCTTCTTTTTCATGGCATTACTTACCACAATTCCCTAACTGCTGCTGCTGGTTTTTATTTTTATTTTCATTCCCCCCCCCATCCTGTTCTGCAATTTCTTTTTACCTTTTTGCCAGATGAAGACAAGCTGGGGCAGGAGTTTGGCACGTCTCACGCCAAGTCCGACACATGCTTCGAAGTTCTCCTCAGTTACGACTGTAGCTTTCTTTTTCTTGTCTACATTATCTACGGCATTACTGGTCCAGCCAGCCGGGGGAGAGGGCTTCCAGGGTCTGTGGCACCTGCTCAGATTTGCCACACGTGGGCCTGCAGGGACTCCGCAGACCAGTTCTACCTCGAGGACCCTCACAGAAGCCGTGGTTCAGACCATCGTGTTGTGGAGCTGGCCAGGCGCGTCTCCTCCAGCCCGAAGCAGCTACTGGCTCGCACTTCGGGGCTTGGCTTCACTGTGGGGCACTCAGATGGGCGGGATGAATGTGGATGCCGCGCTTTGCCTAGTCCACGTGCTTTTGCCTGGCGTACCTCGTGCCTGCGGAACTTCCGGCCCTTGTTTGTGGAACTTCCGGGTGGAGGCTGAAGCAGGTGCACTCGATGCACCGCCCGTCCTGACGAAATGGGGCTTTAAGAGCTTGTGCTTCCTGCCCACGGCTGGGACCGTCCAGGCCTCCCTCCACTTGAGAGTCACCTAGCAGAAAGGCTCCGGGGTTGCAAAGCCACCGGAATGGCTGTCCTTTCTTCTTACACCGAGGAACAGCGGAAGGGAACTTCATAGCTTCCTGCACATTTACAGACTGTGAGTGTCAATATGATTTTAAAGTATATTTATAAGTTAATTGAAAACAACGCTTTAAAACTTAGTCGCAGACTAAACAGGCATGCTGTTCTAAAGGGTGTGATGTTGCTTTCGACATAAAATTACTAGATACTGGGAAAATAGGCTTCCTCAATCATCCCTGATTATAATAGTGTTTACTCAAAATTCAAGAAGTTACCATGGGATATTCATATGTTGAAAACAAAATTTTGCTGTCTTATTTTTTAACAATGGTGCATTTCATTTAACAATTTTTTGTTTAAGCTGACAGGGTATATTCGTCAAGACTTTTAATGCACTAACAAAAACTGTAACTGAGGGTAGCAAAAATAATAAAATATATTAGTATATGCCTAACAATATCGTGAGATAGTGTGTTCACGGTTGACCAACCAGCTCAGTGTTGCCACTTTATTCTTGTTAGCTATTTGCTGTATGCAGTTCTATTTTTATTTTTTATAGACTTGTTTTTATTTAACTTTTGTTTAGTATTTTATTTTTTAATATGACCAGAGAAGGAAAGTGAGAAAGCAAGCCACCAGGTCCGGGATTAAAACCGTGATTGGCCATGTGGGAATCCAGCACCGTAACCACCAGACCATCTGCAGTTTATTTTTCTTAATTGCTACCATTCACAATTGAAATTGTTTGCTTGCTTGCTTGCTATCCTGCCCTTCCAGAGGGAGACAGCACAGATAGTGAGAGAGAAAGTCCAGGCGCATGTGCGTGTGTGCCCAAGATCCCGAGAGGAGAATGGCGGAGAAGGGATTGCAGTGTGGCCATCTCCCCTGAGGAATGATTTTCCTTTCCGTCTGTCTCTTTCTGGCGAGTGCATGCGTCCTATAGCAAAAACTTACGCCACCCCCACCCCCCCCCAAAAAAGGAAGGTGAGAAATCACGTGGAAGATGCAGTCCCTTCCCCATTCTCTCTGGGGATTTCGGGCTTCCGCCTGTGCCCGCGCCTGTTGTGGTCCTCAAACCTTTGCGTACAGGACTCCAACCATAGTCTGCCCTATGGGAGTCTAGCACTTTAACTACCCTGCCACCTGCTGGCCTCGAAATCCTGTACTTTTAAAACTCTCTTACCGTGGCAGTCTTTCTTCTTAAATTACTTATTCAACAATATTATTGTGCCAATTTATGTTAGTATCCTTTTTCTTTTTTTAAAAAAAAAAGAGGGTTTTGCCGTAGAGCCCCTGTGCATGCAAGGAGAGACAGAGACAGTGAGAGGGAAAGTGAGAAATTACCCCCTAGGTAAGATAGACACGCTGCAATCCCTCCTCCTCCATTTTCCTCCTGAGATCTTGGTTCCTCAAGTCACCTTCCTGGTTTCTCCCAACTGGAGTCAGCTGTGTGAGAGTCCAATGACCTAACCGCTATGCTGGTGGTGGTGGTTTTTAATCTTCAAATAACTGTTAGCTGTTTGACTTACCCTGGATTTCTAAATCAGCTGGTGCAAGTAGTGGGTCATTTCCCTTTCATCTTTGATCCTGGTCTGCTACACTTCCAGATTGTACTTCTTTCACAAAGATGTCAACTTCTCATTTTGAGTTCTCAGTAGTGGAATTATTCTAACTAGTTAAGAATAAGCAGAGTTCATGTTTGGAAGCCAGTGATAGGCTTTGATTTCTTTAAATCATCAGTGCTATAAAATCCTTATTACATTATATGATTCACTTACATTTTGAATAATCTATGAAGTAAAAATATTAGTGAGCATCATCTATGTCTAGGACTCTCTACTGGATGGAGTATTCCAATGTGCAAAATTTGCCATGGCCCTTGTCCCCATGGAGATTATTGTTAATTGTTAATAACTGCCAATTATTAGTTGTTATGATGTAAATCCATGTGCTATATAATTTATAAATTCCCTTTAGTTCTGAAAACATTTCCATGATGAGGATTTTATTTTAATTTCCTTTTTAAAATGCACAAATGTAGCCAAAATGTACAGGGTCATATATTATAGTTGTCAGTTAGGTGAGCCAGATTTCCAATACAGTTAGCGTTATTCTACCACCTGAACATAGACCATCTACTCAACATTATCTTTCTTTACCTTATGTATTTCAAACTGAATATACTTTAAAAAATCATTTTTATTGAGGCTTTATCTTCCTATGTTCATATTACAGGTTCAATAAGTGTCCCATTACTAAGAATTGTGTGCGCAATTTGAGATATCTGGAAATTTTAAAAAATTTATTTAATTTTATTTATCCATTCATTTTAATTTGTCTAGAGAGAGAGAGACAGAGAGAGAGAGAGAAAGTGAGAAAGCAAGCCACCAGGTTGGGGACTTGAACTGTGGTTGGCCACGTGGGAGTGTCCAGTGCCTTAATCACCACGCCACCTATTGGTTCCCCATCTGGAACATTTTTAAGATTATGTTTAATTTTGCTGAATGACAATGTACGTGAAGGCCTAAAGTGTTGCTTATATAACATGATGTAGTAGAAAGAACATAGTTGTTGGGATCTTATGAGTTTGAGCTCATTTCTTGATCTTTTTTCTCCTCATAATAACTCTGTGGCCTCAGACAATTCACTTAACATGTAGGATTGAATCTCTAGGTTAGAGTTTGTGAGAATAGTTCTAACCATTCTGGGGTTTTGATTTTCTACAGATAATACAAATAAAGTATTTACTTATAAATAAGCAGACTATACATTGAAAAAATTTCCATTCAGTATCACTGGTACTGATAATTATCAGTGATATTTAATGAAACATTAAAGACTCCTTACATATGCTGCTACCACTTTTTTGTTTTGACAATTTTGCTTTATTTAAAACATTTTTTTGGGGGGGTTGCTGTAGGGTGTATGCACTCACTGGAGAGACAGAAAGAGACAGAGACAGAAAGTAAGAAATCACCTCTCCAGGAGGAATGGCCATGCCACAGTCCCTTCTCCTTCATTTTCCCCTCGAGACTTTGGGCACAAACGCACACATGCTTGGCATTACTTCTAAGCCACTGGGTCCAGAACTCAAACCGCGGTCGACTACATGGAATCCAGTGATGCAACCATTCCTCCATCCCAGTTAAAACATTTGATTAATAACATTTGTATTTGTTTAATGAATGGTAACTGTGTACCACACTAATGTAGTAGTTTTGTACAATAGGTTCCCTAGTTGGCTAGGATTGAAAACTATGTTTTGTGTGGGGATCTTTCACTAGTCTGGAAATGTGGGCTCAGGTCAGAGTTGTTTTCTTACAGTTCTAGATAACCATGATACTTCTTGGTAGGAGTCACCATTATAGACTAGCCAGATATCTGAAATCTAGTCTATATAAATAAGAATATGACTTAGAGAAAAATGTTTTTTTAGACAAATCTTCAATTATGGGAGCAAGAACAATTAGCATTTCTTTTTGCATGTTTATTATATTAGTTAAATGATCTCATAAGTATAAAAACCCTTTATGAATTATATAGGAATATGTAGATGGGAGTTAGTGTTAGATTTTTAATTATTATTAATAAAACTTGAAGTTATAATACCATAAGAAATAGGCATATGTAGGCAAAAAATAATCAAAGCATTGTCAGTGTTCCTACTAAAAAGGGCATTACTACTCTGTACCTAAGATATTTCTGAAATAGAAGCTATTGCAACTGTCACCTTACTACTGCACAATTCAATTTAAATATTTTTGAAATATCTTTGGTAATATTAAACAGGGAGAATTAGTCATAGATCATAAATATTTTGAATGAAACAAATATCTCCACTGTGGCAAATGACAGAATATTTGAATAAATACCCATATAAACATAGGCCTTCTGACTAAATATGGCAAACTTAACAGAAACAGATACTAATGTAGATTTTATATATAATGGGTATCTACATATCTATATATACATATATTTTTAAAACAGAGTCTTGCCATGTTATAATCCTCTTGACTCACCCTTCCCAAGTCACTCAAAGACAGAAGCATGACACCACAGTCTGCCTTCTTTTTCTTTTTGAGATTTTTCCTTGCGGAAAGAGAAAGAGGGACATACAGTGAGAAATCAACACCCGGGCTGGGGTGTGGAGGCAGTGGCTATGCAGCAATCCCTTCTCTTCTATTCTCTTCTAGGGATCTTGGGCATGTACACACACATGCTGGTTTGAGTTTCACATCACTGGGTCTGGGACTCGAACTGTGTTCAGCCTTGTTGGAGTCCAGTGACTTAATCACTACACCACATGGCAACTCCTATTTTCTTTTTTTTTAAATAAAAACTTCTTCTGTTCTGAGGTTTTATTCCAATATAAGAACTTTAGGTAAAGAAGCATGATCATTAATATAGATAATGGCACTTGATTACATAGACCCAAATTAATTAAGTGAAATTGAGTACTTTAAGATTTCAGCTGTCACTTTCCAGTCTCCACTAAGGTGTATATTTTCATCTAGGCCCTACTGACAGGAAAATTTTATTTTTTGACTACAGTTGAGAACAGATGACCATCACAAGAATTAAAAAGTAAAATAAATTCAGGGAAAAAAAAATTTCATAGCTTCATATTTTTAAATAGTTTAATAGTTTATCCAGGTTAATAGTAGCAATTGATATGTTCTAAAAATTCTTTTTAAAAATATTTATTTAATTTGTTGTTATTATTATTATTATTTAATTTGACCAGAGACAGACAGAGAGAGAAAGGAAAAGCAAGCAATCAAGACATCAATTCTAGGACTTGGACCATGGTTGGGAATTTGGGAGTTCAGCTCGTTCAACTACCATGCTACCTGCTGGCCCCATGGTCTCAAAATTCATTAGAATTTCTATTGTCCTATAGACTTTGTGGGTAATCTTGCAAGAATAAGTGACTATATATGTATATGTATACACACATACACATGCATATAACACTCATGATATTTAAATATTTTAAAACTCAAAAATTGATGGTCCCTAATTTTAATTTTATAATTTTACTTTCTATGGAAATTAACTTCTAAATTTTCATTG